CATTTAGGTAATGTACAGTGAATCTTTTGGAATCTCCTTTTAGAGCAATGTAGTGAATTTCCCATCTTTGTAAGAGAACTAATGGTCAGATAGAAATCAGCTCTGCTAGTAGTGCTGGTTATAGATTCCAAGTCCCTTGAGGGCAAAGCTCTGTCCCTTCTGTGTCTCCACATCATTTACAATTTCCGCGGATTGGGTCCACACTGGCTGGGTATTTAATGAATATTCATTACATGCTGAGATAGAGTACTTGGGAAAAATTAAAGAAACTCCTCTTCATGCACTTCTCTCTGAAATGGGGACAGTAAGGCACACTTTGAAGAAATGAGCCGAGCTTCTGCTGTGTGGGCCCGGAGGAGACTGATGTCCCAGCAGCAGTGGTACAAAACAGGGAAAGAAACCAGCAGCAGGGTCAGGTATGAAAATAAGCGAGATAAAACAAATATCTGCTTTTGAATTTATGCTACTAACCTAAGGGATAGATGGGTTGACTCATACAGTTTTAACTCCGTGTCCTATTTGTGATAAAAATGAGATAAATTAGCTGGAATTTGGGTACCATCTGAAATGTAACACAGATGGGAAAGCTTATCACTCAAAGCCACAAAAAATGAAAGGGATCATTGTGTACAGTCACAGAAGTGCAATGCATCCGGCATTACCTCCGAGTTTGTGTAAATACAAGTCTCACTTTTCAAATGAAATTAAATGAGAAGATATTAAAAACATATTTTGATAACACAGCACTGCTATTGACAGAATAGCAACGGCCCTGATGGCTTCTTCTTGCTAAATAACAATTCACTGGTTATATACAATTTAAGGGACCTAGGAGAAAATCTTAACCTCTTTTCTTCTTCTAATATGATTTTTCTTATCAAATACCAACAGCTTGGATTTGATTTGTGTACTCTAAATTTGCATTTTCTTTCTTTCCCTGGAACGAGTGATCCTTGCGTAGAATGAAAGCACGTGCACAATACGCCTGCTCGGAGGGCTGTGTGTAGGCTGCAGGTGTTGGCCGAAAGAGAGTAAGAGTGGCCAAGAAGGAGAAATCCTAGCTGTGCGATCTCTGAAACAATGGCCTCGCCTCTAAAACGGAGCCATTGGTACCTTCGGTGCAAGGTTGTTAGTATTAGAAAACATATTTGTAAAGCATAAAGTCGGGACTTAAGAAATAGCAGCTAATTTTCCTCTTAAGGAGCTGAGGTGCAAATTATAATGTCACCGAAAAGAAACCAACCCATGAATCAATAAAGAATAAAAAATAGGAGTAAAACCAGAAAGTCCAAACTGTTTGCCTCATAGAATCTGTGCACGTGCTGAGTAGTTGTGTTTACCCAGCCAGCACATAAACGGGTTTGGATGAAAGAACACGGATGTGGATTCTGGTCCATTTTTCTATCGGTTATCTGATCTTGAATTTGAAGTTAAGAGATTGAATTAATCTCTCAAATTCCTTCCAGAAATTGCTCCCAGGTGGCCTGGCCATATGAATAGGGAAGTTCATAATTGGATACAAATAAAATTTGAAATCAACCTTTGATCCCGTTTCTTTTGGTAAAGTAATATAAAACCCTGCATTTTGGCAGTTATTGAGAAAAACAGGGTACTACTGTAGGAGGGGGTTCACGGTGTGATAAATGTTCCTTCCATTTACTTCCCTTCTTCTCAGCCATATTATAATTTGAGGACTAAGGTTATTTAGTCACAAATCCATCCTTGAAGTAGGCCTTCCATAGCATTGGCTTATAATAAGGATTTATTTTTAATCTGTAAGGCCTTTCCTATCTGCAGAAGGGTCTCTTGTACCCCATGTGAGGCTTCATCCTCTTGCTTACCTGTTCTAAAGTTCTGCCCATTGAGCTACTCCTGGATTAGACAAGCAAGGTTAGGCATTAGCTGCTGACAGACACATTCAGCAATGCAGAGTGTGGTAGTAGGTTTATGGTTAGCCAGATTTAGCCAGGTGTGGTGGTGTACACCTGTAACCTCAGCACTCAAGAGGGTGAGACAGGAGGATGGCAAATTTACGGGCAGCATGGACTGCATAGCGAAACTTTGTCTCAAAAAATAAACATGAATTAGCCAGATTTAAATATGACCTCCTATTTCTAGTTCTTTCCCACTTAATTTAAGACTCAAGTTTCCTCACCTGTACAGTAAGACTAATAACAGTGCTCATCCCATAGCATTATTTCAGGACTTAAATTAGATAATATTTATGACATACCTTGCATAATACTTGGCACAAAATAAATGCTTAATAAACCGGGATTAAAGTGGTATTTCAGATGGAGCACACATTTTTTTTTCTTTTAGCTGAAGAAAGGGAGTTAGGTAACTCATCTGTGCTGCTGTACCAAAGGTGTTTCCTGGTGCTCAAGGGCAGGACTCTGTTTCTGAGGTTAACATTTAAGAGTCACTTCAATACAGCCACCAACATGCTATGTTTATTGAATTAATCATATATTTAAGAAAAATTTCAATTTATAATGTTTAGCATAAAACTGCTTTAGATGGTATTTAATAGTTCATCTAGGAGGAAGTAATAGAAATCAATTGCCATGATAGTGTTTTCCACGTACAAAATCTGGCTGCTGCTCCCTGGTGCTCGTGGGGTAAAATTGCATTCCATAGGAGTTGCTGTTAAATGTTGGTAGAAATTAAGTATGCACTTCCCCGAACCAAACATACACGCACATTACAGGAGAAGAGACATTACAGCCCAGAGATCACCTAAGCATACCAAATGGGTAGCAGAATGACTTCACCATTTAATAGGAAGTAATCTATTTCTGAGAAACCATCATAGGCAATAATTTGGTACAATTGAACTTCGTCTTTAACCTTTTACTATGATTTGTGTGATTAGGCCACCGAAGGAAGTGGTTTTCAACAGCATGATTAAAACATTTTGAGGAAATAATTTCTGTTTTCAAGCACCTTGCATACTTTCCGTGCCCCCTGGGTGTTTGTCCTTTCTCATCAAAAGAAGAGCCAGGAAATGGAAAAACGTTAACTTTAAATATAGTCTTAGGCAGAAATAAAAGATCAGAACACAGAGTCAGTGTCAAGGTCAGGAGCTGCAGGTCTTTAACTAACTTGTGCAAGGTTGTTTCTTGCCTGATGAGCACTACGACTGGGGATAAACTAGTCGAGCATTTCCAGATTTGAGAGTGTTACCAGCTTATCAGGAATTTATTTCTTCCCTTTAATGTTAGAAAAAGTTAAACTTTACAAGGAAAGAACTAATTTTTAAAAATAGCACATTCAGAGGTTGATCAATCCTCTTATCTGGTGCCTAGAATGGCAAGGGCTAAAGAAAAAAGGAAAGAAAGGCAATAGAGACATAATTTCAAAGTACATGGAAGGGGGGCTGGGAGGTCAGTGTCACACTGGGCAACGACAAACACTCAGCTGGCCACTTGTTATTGGGCACACACAGTAATGGGAGGGAGCACTGGGTGACTCAGAGGTTCTGAGGTCATTTTATGTTGATGAGGATGGTGAGAAGAGCGAAGTACTCTTCCAATAGAAGGTGGGACGAGATAGCAGGCTAGGAAGAATTTGTGAAATTTTCCTCTCTTCTTCTTTTTTTTTTTTAATATTATTACTACTTGGTTCTCAAAGAACCAGGATGTCTTCTGCTGGTGTCGTCTGGCCCTCGAGAGTCACAGAAACATGGGACCACTGAGCCTCTGCTTGTGACCGGAGCACAGTCATGTCCCTACATGGCACAGCCAGCTTGGCTCACAGGCAAGGTGACACTGGGCCTAAGATCATCCTAATTGTAATTTAATTATGAAGTGATTTTCCCCCAAATTATGTAGAATGGGTCTCGATGGCACATGTCTACCATCTACTAGGAAATGATTTTTTTAGAAAAAGACATTTTAGTGCCATAAAATTTTATCCAAAAAAGACAGTAGTTACATTAAGTCTGTTTTTTTTTGCTTTGCCAGGAAGCAAAGTGGGCCAGGTCCAGAGTTCTTATTGAATACTCTGCCCAAACCCAATTCAGACTAATTTTAGGCCAAAAGTATTCAAAGTATTATACTCTGCTTATGTTTGTCATTGTACCTCAGATTATGTCCAGTGACTCCCAAATGGTCTTCAAAATCAGTGCAATTTATAGGCAATATTTACTGTACCACATTATGGTAGGCAATACTGTACATATTATAGGGAGAAGTATTACAAGAGTTATGCTGAGTGTAGAGAGATTTGCAAATGTGACGATTCCCAGTCATCATTCTGAACTCTGCCTACCCATGCTACATCTTAAGCCTTTTATACTTTTTATTTTGAGACAGGACTTTGCTAAATTGCCCAGGCTGGCCTCGAACTTTTGATCTTCTTGCTTCAGCCTCCTCCCTGTGCTACTGACTTACATTATTTTACATCTCAACAAAAAGGAAAAGAGAATGTTCTTTCTAGAGTTGAGAGTAGGTTGTGGGTGACCTATTTGAGTTCACTGGCTCACTGAACAGTGATTAACATTTAAAATGTATGCAAACTGGCTCCTAATTAAAGTCCAATAATGTAAGACTTTGAACCTATTCACTGCCTTTGGAAATAATCATAGATGCCTGCTGCTTATCATGAAAAAGTCATTATGGCAAATGACCAACTCCCCCACCTTCTCCTTTCTATCACTTGCAAAAGCGATTCTCCATTGCAAAGATTGCAAATGGTGCATGTTGTAGAGTCAAATGTCTCCTGGTAGATGGAATTGTTATGCAAATTGCCTTGATTACAGGAAGAATAAAATTTATAGAGCTCCTGTCATAGGTGAATTTGCAAGCTATGGGAAAGTAGACCAAAGTGTGGACCTCAGGGTCATCCAGAACTCATAATGGCAGTTTGGTCCTGGCAGTTCTAACAGGGGAGTGACTCTCCCATTAGTCCCCTTTTTCCTTTGCTTTGCTGACTGGGAGAGTGGATGTGAAACAGAGAGAGGGAACCGGAAAAAAAAGTCACAAAGCCCCAGTGCATACCTGCAGTCTCAGCTATTCAGGACGCTGAGGTAAGAGGATCCCTTGAGGCCCACAGTTTGAGACCAGCCTGGGCAGCATAATGAGACCCCATCTGGAAATGTAAAAAGGCAGTGAAACCCAGAGGCAGTCCGAGGGTGGACATATTCAGAAACTAGATGTTAGCTGTAACTTGAAAAATTAAAGTCAATTTAATTAAAGGAAAAAAGAATCCAGGTAACAAAGTCTCAGCAGGGAAGAAAGAGAGAAAAATGAGAGCTGACATCATCCATTTGATAAGTTCCATAGACTCGTGTAGGGATCTTGTATGTTTCCTCATTGATTAATAATCTGATGCAGTAGTGGCACTAATTTGCAGGTGAGAAATTTGAGGTTAAGAAAATTGGTGTACATAAGTCAGGTTCTTAGAACTAAACTGCAGCTCTATCTCGTTTGAAAATTCATGGTCTTTGTTATTTTCCAAGTTGCCTTTCAAAATTATGTAAAAATTTACCCTTAAAAATGAACAGCTAGGAAACAGGATTTCAGAGCTGTGGCTTCAACTAATCCACCCGAACTTCTGTGCCAAAGAGACAACGTGACTACTATGTCTGTTGCATCAGCAGCTGCTGCCTTGCTCATGTGCCGTGGACCTGGACTACAACACACTGGGGTGTTTGGCTGTGTTCACTCAGTGTACGCTTGTGGTAGAGACAGAGGGGATTGTTTTTCAGTAAGGGGACTGAACTCAATGGCTTCGCACTGATCTCTATTCCTAGCCCTTTTCTGATTTTTTATTTTGAGACAGGGTCTTGTTACCAAATTGCCCAGCATGAACTTGTGATTGATCCTCCTGCCTCAGCCTTCTGGGGTGCTGGGATTACAGGTGGGTGCTATCCCACCTAGCTTGGGGAATTTAGCCTTTACTTGTTCTAAGCAAATACTGAAACATGGTCAGCAAATGAATCAGATTTGCCCTTTAGGACATCATTGAGCTGGTGACGATATTTAAGGAGTTCGGGTTGTTTGCTTGAAGATTTATGAACAGAAAATAGTTATTATGAGCATCAATGTACACATTAACCATCCTTCCTGGCCCTGACATCTGCAGTCTCTGGTAACCGCTATCCTTCTTGCTCCTTCTTTTGTAATGTCCATCTATGTGAACACGCAGTATTTGTCTTTCTGTGTCTCACTTATTACTCTGAACGTTATACTCTCCATCCCATCCGCGTTGTGACAGATGACAGGATTTCATTCTTTTCGTGGCTGAATAATGCTCCATTGTGCATGTAGACGACATTTCCTCATCCTTTCACAGTTAATGGACACTGAGGTTGTCTCCAAATTTTGACTATAGTGAAAAATGACCACCGTTAAGAGTTCTCGACAAGCTTCTCTGGATTTGTGGTCTGACAGAAGCAATGTCTGCTCCATCGGAGAACGTGGGAGGGCACGCATGTGTATACACGTCCACGCCTAAGCCACAGACAGGTCCCCCACGGCTTCTCCTGTGGGGCAACTTGACAGAGAGTCTGCTCACTGTTTCTTCCAGGTCTCACCCTCGTGCTCATTCCTGTATGAATGACAGACTTTTTATAGAATAAATGCTCCACTATCAAGTCAAGATCATGTAGATTCCAACCTGTTTGCTTTTTGCTGTTTTTCTACATCTTTCCCTTGTTTGCTTATTAGTTATTTCACTGCTCAGTGTGAGGATAAAAAAGGAAAAATAGTTTGCTTCTCACTTTAGCTTTTTAGTGCGGAACCTAAAATACGAACACTCTAATTATTAATCTAATATCATGGATAAATAATAAGACCCAGAAAGGTGGAGGGGTGGCATGACATTTGGGGGAAGTAAGAGGTTTGCATTTTTATTTTATCATTCATTTCCTTTTTTGTAAGTAATCACATCCTCTCTTTATCTGTATGTTTTTGTTTATATAATTGTGAATTGAACCCAGTGCCTTACAGTCTTCCACTGAGCTGCATTTCTAGCCTTACAGCTCTTCTCTGGCTGCTGAATTGCTACTTCAGTAAGGGAAAGTCTATTTAGCCAAAATGGGTAAAGGTCTAGACTCTGAATCCAGGATTCTTGGCTTTAATTTCTAGATCTGTCACTTGGCATTTCAGTGATTGTGTGGGGTTGGAAAATGGGCCCCCCGGAATACCCATATCCTTATCTCTGGCACCTATAAATGTTATCTAATATGTGGAAAAAAATATTTTTGTGACAAGATCAAGGCTTTTGCTATGAAGAGATTATCCTTGATTAACAGAGTGGGAATTTCTAAATTTATCAAGTAGGAGGAAATTAGACTCAGAGAAAAGTTTCTCTGAAGACAGGATAGCTTTGGAGTGATGCAGCCACAAACCAGGAAATGCTGGCAGCCACAAACCAGATATCACAAGAAGCAAGAAAGCGGTTGTATTCTAGGACTTCTGGAGTGAGTATGGCACACTGAAACTTGAGCCCAGTGATGCTAATTTTGAGCTTCTTGCCTCCAGAACCATGAGAGGATCAATTTCAATTGTTTTTAGATCTTTATGTTTGTAATAATTTGTTACAGCATAAGAAACTAATGCAATGGTTTAAGGCAAGTTTAAATAGTTCGTTTTGGCTCCATTTCTTCAGTTGCACAATGTAAAAATAATATTATTTTCTTTATAGGATCATTGTGAAAGTTAAAATTATATTTACCTATTTATGAAGATATGACTTATATATGTATATAATTTTATTCTTCCTAAGATCCCTATGGGAAAGTTATTATTCTTATTCATATGTATAGTGATACCTTGGCTTATGAAGTCAATTTTCTCCATGATTCTGGTTGCAAATCAAACTGGATGAGAACCAAATCAAATGTCCCTGTAAGATCAACATGGAACCTAGCCATTGAATTTGATTTGGTACCACGGACAATGGCTTGGTTCATGAACAATTTTGTTTGTGAACAATTTGGTTTGCAAACAAAAGTAAAATTTTATTTTTTTTGCAAACTCTATCAAGTGACAAATGACCGTAGCCATCTTTCCCATGCAAATATAAATGTGGCATCTTTTCCAAAATTGTGGAGCAAATTAAGTTTGTGAACTGAGGTACCATTGTATCTTTATGTGTATGTTTCTCTTGAACATTCTATACACCCATATAGCCCCAGAGGATGGCACTACCATAAATTTGAAGAAAGCGAAGTCTCTAAATCACTCTGTAGAAGAAAGCCACTGTTGACTGGGAGCAACTGTATGGGACTGACAAGTGAACAAATAGCATTTAATTTCTCTCTCCTGTGGTAAGTCATTAATTTTGTGGCTTATTGTTACAGTAGCTAGTGTTACACCGACTAATGTAACTGTAGAATTCTTTGCCCTTGCAGGAAGCACAAAGGTGACTAAGTAGCTTTTCCAGACCTTCTATCTTGCTTGTAGAAGAGTATGTCAGGGAAGAAGTTGATGCATGTACCCAACAAATTTAATCTTGAACTTATTGGAAGAAAATGAGCATAGAATTCATAAAAGCCATTTTCAGAGAGTTACTTTTCTGATTCCAGTTGCATTCTAATTAATATGGAGCATTAGCAAACTAAGTAAGGAGCAATTATTAGCTATCAGATTCTGTGTTGGGGAGAGAAATGATACTATACTGTGCATAATTTTTGCATCATTAAAAATTAAATGCCATAAGCATAATGACTCAAGCATCAGGCTCTGACAGTATCTGCTGATGATAAACTATGGTATGTAAGAAAACAATTTACTAGGTAATGGGTGCAATATTTTCTGCATTTAGACAGAATTTCACAAAAAAAGGGGGCAAAAATTTTTTTTTTTTGGTACCGGGGATTGAACTCGGGTCCTTGCGCTTGCAAGGCAGGCCACCGAACCACTGAGCTAAATCCCCAGCCCGGCAAAGATATTTTTTATCAAATTTCTAGTCACATACAACAGAACATTAACAATAGTAAATCAGTACTATTTTCTTTTACACTCAGGTCTATAGATATATAGAATAAGTTGCTAACAGAAAGCTTTAATAATTTTTCTATTTTGTAGCAGATGATTTAATAAGATGAGCATAGATTTCAGATTCTTAATCTCACAAATTTTCAAGTTCACCACCTGTCCGGATGAGATACTCCACCTCACTTCACAGAGGTTTTGTGTAGATTAAATGAGATAGCGTAGGTAAACGCGTGACACTAGGCTAGCACAGGGCAGATACCTAGTAGATGTCAAGTCATTTCTTGTTTCTTTTCTCTGGGTTGTTGAGCTCTCTCCCTGAAGGGAAATGATTCTGTTGCTACTATATAGTCACGCTCCCTGGAAAAACTAGAGTAGGGATCAAAAACTGCTGACTGAAACCTCTCAGGAGGTCTGGCCCCTGAAGAACTACAGTGGTGCCTCACTCGGTTCATGGAGTTAACTCATTCCATGATTCTGGTCCTGAACCAAACAGTCACAAACTGAGTCAAATTCCCCCACAAGTTTTGATGTAAGTGAAGTCAATCCATTCTGAGCCAAATGCACTTTTTAACCACAGAAACATGAAACAAAGTACAGTACAGCATGTTTGGAAGAGAGAAAACACTAACCTTGTTTGAGGCGACTTCTGGCACTGAGGACCGCAAGGTGGGTGTGGAGGCTGTTGTTTGGAGGGAGAGGCCCCTTCCATAAGGACATCTGGGAAATCTCCTTCAGGGGTTTCCTTTCTTTATTGTCTCTTGGCTGCAGGATCAATTTTGGAAAAAAAAAATCTGTCTAATGTCACTTACTTTTCCCTGCACTGCATAACCCTCTGGAAACCAGAGACTGCTTTATCATTTATCAGATTCAGCAATCTGTGCGTTATAGTTCTGTTACGATGATGCTTCTCTAAGAAATCCTGGCACTCATTCCATTTTTCCATAGTAAATTCTATCACATCCCTGCTAACCTCCTCCCTCCCTTCCTCTTCCTCAGCGGAAGGCTCCTCCACCAGAGCCTTCTGGCCTTCAGCAAGTTCTTCTGTCATCACCTCCTCCTTACGGTGCTCAGCAAGCTCCTCCCTGTCTGCACCATCGACATCCAGACCCGTGCTCCGGCCCAGGGACACAGTCTCCTCCACTGCTGTGCGTCAGACCCCTTAAAGTCACGTTCAGTGACGCATTCCGGTCATGGTGACCTCCAGGCTGAGTTTAAGGCCCAGTGTGTGACACCTGCTCATGCTTTGTCATTGAAGTTGGTGCAGTGGAGGGCACTGAAATGTTTCCTCTAGAACTCTTTCAGAGTCAAGGACATCGCTTCAGTGACATTAAAACACCCGGCGAAGAGCGCCTTTGTGTACAGCTTCGTGAAGTTACAGGTCACTTGCTGGTCCATGGGCTGCAGAAGAGGTATCATTTTTTTGCAGAGGAGTAACTTGACCTTTATGAAGTCATACTCAATGTCATCCACCAAGGCTGGAGGGTGTGTCAGGGCATTCTCCATCAGAAGAAGGCACCGTTCAGGTGGTTGGTTGCCAGAAAGGTATTTCTTAATGGTGGATGCAAACATCTTGCACGGCTATTCATTCCATACACTATTGCCTTGTGATGCACATGATAGACAGTCTGGCCTTGTTCACATTCATTTCCTTGAATGCATGAGGTGTCTGGGAATGGTAGTCTTCAGAGCATCACTTGAATTTGCACACAGCAAAAGGGTCAATCCGTCTTTCCTGGGCTTGTGTCCTGGCAGTTCCTTTTCTTACTGTGTGGTGTAGGTTCTGTCCTGAATCTTCTTCAAGGAGAGATCTAGTTCATCCCAGGGAACATTTGTTGAGCAATGTAATTTTCTGCCTTCATGAATTCTGCAAATTTTTTCTTGTAGCTGTCTTCAGTGGCCTTGTCTCAACTTGAAGCCTTACCATGTCTTACCACAATGTGGATGTCACTACTCTTGAGGAATTTATCAAATCACCCTCTATTGGTTTTAGCATATGTGCTGCTGAAGTGAGCACCACCTATTGGCTTTAAATTCATCACTTTTTGTGCTGATAGAGGGGTTTTCTTGCAGTAAGTCACTGTGCAGTTTCCTTGGTTTTTCACAGACCATAGCTTCACTAACACTCTCATATGTGAGCTGTTTCTCACCCAACCACACTAACAAGTTTTTCCACCTCTTTTAGCACTTGTGTCCCCTGCTTGGGCAACATCATTATTCCTTTGGCTACATCAACTCCGTTGATGGCATTTTCATTTTTCAAAATAGTTGAGTTGTCAACTTCACTATATTGTACTCTGAGGCCAGATCAGTCACATGAATACTGTGTTCATACTTTTCTACAATTTCTTTCTTCAATTGAATGGTTATTTTTCTTCAAAACTTATTCTTACCATTCTATTCTGTACTTTTTTGTTCCTTTCATTATTCCTCTGCACATTCTTCTCATCTTCATTACGGCTCTACATCTTCTGGTTACCTCCATTACCAGTCTGTACTTTCTTTTTACCACCATGCTTGCCCTGTACTTTTTTTGGAGCTATGCTTGATTGAATGATACTATATAGCACTGTGTGTGCTAAGAAGCACACACAAAAGCTTCACAGCAAGACAGCAAGGATGCACAGGTCTGTCTGCAACCACAGTCTTTTTTTATTTTGAAACAGGGTCTCACTATGTAGTTGAGATTGACCTAGAACTCATTATGCAGCCCAGGCTGGCCTCGAATTCACAGCGATCCTCCTCCCTCAGCCTCCTGAGTGCTGGGCTTACAGGCATGCCCCACCATGCCAGGCTTCACAGTCTTGACTAAAGGAAGCCACAACCATGTGTCAGAGTGGGGAAGATGGCCACGGTTCTGTTTGTCACCCGATGTGGAGCTCTCAAGCAGAAGCAAGATTTTGTTGAATTATTTGCAAACAGAAGGGTTTGTGAACCAAAGGACTACCCTATCTGTGAGATCCCTACGCACTAAGCCAGTGACTACCACAGCTAACCTCTAAGGAGGTTGCTGTGATTTCCATTGGGATGGGATGATTCTAGCATTTGTCCTTCTTGGTCTGCTTTTTTTGGTGGAACTTTTCATAGTTCTCTTAGTGATGATTTGAAACATTCAAGGTAACAGAATATAGCTTAATAACACTCAGGACAAGTACTAATGAGAATAAGATCTTTTGTTTTTTTTACAAAGCCATGTTTGCTGTACCTAATATTTACATTCTTTAATTCTTTTTTCACCCCACTCCTCTCTGTCTTCCTTTTTCCTTTATCTCTTAACTGCCTTTTCATTTGAGAAAGAGCTATCTCCATACTTCCTACTAACTGTTTGTAAATTTTACTCTTTATTTATATTTTGGGTTTCTCATATAAGAGAAACTGTGTGATATTTAAGCTCATATGTCTAATTTATTTTCTGCATGCGGACAGCCAATTTCCCTAGCACCATTTATAAAGAAGTTATCTTTCCTCCAGTATATGTTTTTGACACTTTTATCAAGGTTCAAATAGTTGAATATGCTTGGGGTTGTTTCTGCATCTTCTTTTCAGTGTTATTGATCCCCACGTCTGTTTTCTGGCCAGTACCATGCTGCTACTGATCGTTGTAGCTTTCTAGTATAGCTTCAAATTTGGGATTATGATGTCTCCTGCTTTGGTCTGCTTTGCTCTTGTTACCCAGGATTTCTTTTACTATTCTGAGTCTCTCCTGGTTCCATTTTCAGATTGTGTTTTCCAGTTTTGTGAGAAGTGCTATTAGTATTTTTCTTTGTTTATTTTTTTTTTGTCTAGTTGATCTATTTGTTATGGTGGGGTATTGAGGTCTCCCACTCTAACTATGTTGCCATTTACCTGATTTTTTCTATCCAGTGGTGTTTGTTTGATAAAGTTGGATACACTGGTGTTTGGTGCATATATATTAATAACTGGTATCTTTTCCTGTTGAATTGTTTCTTTAACCAATATCTAGTGAACTTCTTTGCCTCTTCTAATCATTTTAGGCTTGATGTCCACTTTTTCTGAGAATAGAATAGATGGATGCATTTTCTTTTTGTCAGGTTCTGTTTCAGGGAGTATTGTCTTCTTTGATTTTTAGTCTATGAATTTCTTTTTGAGAAGCATGTGTTTCTTATACACAGCATAGCATACTATTACGTTTTGTTGCTTGGTCCTTTCTTTCAAGTGGTGTCTTGACTTTGGAGAATGTAGATTATTCATATTGAGAGTCATTAAGAAAAGATATTGACTTATTCCTGTCACTGTATTATTTTCCTGTTGCTGATTTCCTTTCCTGTTTACCCTGCCTAGTGTATTCACTCCACTAGACCTTTTATCATTGTTGACTTCACTGTCTTTTTCTAGACTATCCTATAGAATGTTTTGTAGTGTTACTGGGTCATGAATTTCTGTAGGTGCTCTTTATTATAAAAATGTCTTATTTCTCCATCAATTGTGAAAGATAGTTTTGCAGAATATATTAGCGTGGGATGGAAGATTTTTTTTTTTTTTCTTAAAACACTTCATTCCAAGCTGTTCTGGCCTTCAAGGTTTGTGTTGAAAAGTATGCTGCAATCCTAATGGGTTTTCCTTTGTAAGTAATTTGTTGTTTTTCTCTGAGAGCTTTTACGATTCATGTTCTTTTGTTGGTCTCCTGAGATTTTGATTATGATGTGTTGTAGAGAGGATCTTCTGATCATGGTTATTTGGATTCTGTATGCCTTACCTGTATATCGGATTTTTTTCTCTTATTTGGAAAGTTGTATATTATTACTTCAGTAAATAGGTTTTTAAATGCCATTTGTGCTATCTTTTGATTTTTCACTAATTCCAATTAATCTTACATTAGTCTTTGTGTCATCTACTTGCTAATGGATCTATTTTTCATGCTCTCTTGTTATTTTAAAGATATTTCTTATTAATTGGTTACTGGCAACAACTCTGTCTTCTAGTTCTAACACTCTCTTCTCACATATTTTACTTCTGCTGCCTGTACTTTGGATAGATTCTTTTAATGCCATGAATTTTTGTTTGGTTCCTTTGTATGCACTCTAATTCTTTTTTATGCTGATCATTCATGGTTTGTATTATAATATTTTTCCCACTTGCTTTTTATTAATGTCATGTGGACTTGCTGAAATTCTGCAGGGAGGTTTCAGCATATGTGGCGAAATACCTAGTTGTCCTGGGATGGGACACAATTTCTTTTAAATGACACTAAAGGAATCTAGAGACTGGCACTCCAAAAAAAGTAGTTGATAGCAAAAACTACATCACCTTGTCTATGGTAGTAAAATCAGCAACAATAGCACAATCAAAGACAAACTGGATATTTATATACTCTAAGAACCAATAATGTATCATTCTTAACTGTAGAAAAAAGACCTAAAATTGTAGAATAAAGCTGAAGACTAACCAGATATTGACCTAAAGTGAATATCTCCTAAATGAAACTTTACTCGCTAACAACAGAATAGTATCCAGTATTAGCATAGAGTTAACTTGCTATCTAAAGATTCATAAAGTTTAATAATTGTGCTAGTAAACATAGAGCGGGTGTGAAAGCAGAGAATGAGAAAAGTAAAATTTGAAAAACAAATCAATGGAAGCTGAGAAAGAGGAGAGAAAAGTGAGATAAGGGTACTGAGGAGTTAAAGGAAATTAATCATATTGGAAAAGAAAGAATGAACAAGAAAGAGAATGAAAAAGAGAACAGAGAGCAAAGTACAACAAATAGAAGCATGATAAGAAGAAAACATTAAAAAGGGAAAAGAAAAAGAGAAAAGAAAGACTAGAAAAAGGTCCCAAACCCAAAACAAAAGAGAAAAATAATAAATAAAAAATTAAAATGATTGAGTTAAAAATTCCCCTATGAAGAAAAAGAAAAAAAAAAAATCCTTTCCAGGATCTGCAGTCTTGGAATCCAGCCAATCATGATTTTTTCTGCCTAGCTTTAGAGACTGGGTCTGTGAGGTGCTCTCCCTGCATCCTTCCTCTC